AACATGTACTATAATCCATATTTGAAATGCAACTTGATAATCCAAGTGTAACTATGTTAAAAATGGCCAAGAAGATGGGTCAAAATCCTGGCTAAATTAGGGCAAAACTTCTCTAAGTTAAAAGTTTTAGGGACCCTTGTTCTAAAAATCATAACTTGAAATCCAAGCTTCTTTTGAGAAAACTTTTTGAATCAAAGTTGTAGACTTTGGGTAGGACTGCAAATTTTATGTTGTAAGTTTTGTTTGAATCCATTTTAATCATGGTGGAAATGTGGGGCAAAGTTAGGAAAAATTAAGAAAATTTCATAACTTAGAAAAATTCTAAGTTATGAAAATTTTCAATTTCAAACCCTAATTTGTAATTTTGGGTTTCTTGATGAACAAGTTTCATAATTTGACATATCTTGATGAAAAATGACCCTTGGCACTTGATTTTGATCAAAAAGTCAAAGTTTGACTTTTCAGTGTACAATCAAATTTTGATCAGTTGACTGAAAAATTCATCTGTCAATCCCATACATTTGAGATCTTTTGAACTTGTTAAATAAGTCAAGATGATGCCTTTGATCCCTTGAGTCTATGTTTGAACTTGATTTGCCATTGGCTAGGTCAAACAGTCAAAAATTGCCTTTGTACCGTCAAAACCCTAAAAATGACCATTTTGCCCTTTTGGTGATCTGATCAAATTTCTTGTGGAATTATGGTCCAAACTTGATCAAATGGTTCATATGAGTTCATAATGTTGATGTGGGTCAAAATTCATGAGGTTTGACTGTAGATTGACCACAGTTGACTTTTTCCCCAATACGGTTGATTTTTAGGTTAATTATCCAATTGACTGGGCAAAAATTTGATTCAAGGCTTGAAACTTGGTATGGACAAAATTGTGAGTCCAACATGAAGTATGAAAGCCAATTTTGGCATTGAAGGTCCAAAAATCCCTGTGCAAACTCAAACCCTAATTTAGGTCAACAGTGCAAGGAGGTGTCTTGAGCAGAGCAAACCCTAACTTGTGTTGAGTTCCAAGAGTCTTGTGATGAGAAATGTTGATAAAATGAGAGGGAAAATTTTGGGGTATAACAGGTGGTCTCTTTATTAAATGGATGTCAAAACTTATTTTCTTCATGGTGACCTAACTGAAGATATTTATATGACTCCCCCTTAAGGTCTATTCTCTTCATCTAAGGGTGTGTGCAAGCTTAAAACTTCCGTATACGGGTTGAAACAAGTGAATAGGGTATGTGTAGCAGTTGAAATGTTTTAAGACTAAGCCATTGGATTGACTTGACTTATACAGATCAAAATAAAAACCACATTTTACTCTAGAGGGAAGGTAGACACTATTCTCTTTATTAAATGTTAAGGAAAGCACATTTTACTTGTTCAAAATTATGTTGATGATATCATTTTTGGATCAACTAACATGCATCTTGTCAATGAGTTCTCTAAGCTTAGGCAATGAGAGTTTGAAATGAGTCTAATGGGAGAGTTGAACTACTTTCTCGGACTTCAAATCAAGCAACTCAAGGAAGGAACATTTGTATGTCAAACCAAGTATTGTCTCGAATTACTAAAACGATTCGAAATGGACGGTGCAAAGGAAATTGATACACCTATGGCGACAAATGGCAATTTGAATAGAAATGAAAAGGGTAAGGAGGTTGAGGTCAACAAATATAGAGGTATGATTTGATCTCTTCTATATCTTATGACATGTAGGTCTGATATCATATTTAGTGTTTGTATGTGTGCACGATATCAATCGGATCCCAAGGAATCACACTTAAAAGAGATTAAGCGTATTATTAGATACCTTATTGGTACATCTAAGTTTGGGCTTTGGTATTGTAAGGGAAGCTTTTGTAGCTTGGTTGGCTACTCCGATTCCAATTTTGCGGGTTACAAACCAGATAGGAAAAACACTAGTGGAACTTGTCATATGTTTTCAAAGTCCTTGGTTAGTTGGCATAGTAAAAAGCAAGTTTTTGTAGCTTTATCGACGGTCGAGGTAGAATATGTAGTTGTCGGTTGTTTTTGTGCCCGAATCTTGTGGCTTAAGCAATAATTACTTGATTTTGACATTACATTTTTACGTATTTCTATCATATGCGACAACACTAGTGTCATTAATCTAACTAAGAATTCAGTTTTTCGAATTGCATGCATCTTGTAATTCATATCTAGCTCTTTAACATATATAATTTGGTTTAATGCTACAAATTCTTGAAAGCAACCGTTTATTCTCTTCTAGTTTATTTTGAAAAACATCAATTTTTTGAATAATTCAGACTCATGTTCATCAGGATCATCAGAATAATCATAATCGTCGAATAAATAATGATGATGACAGCGATGATGGTGAGTCTGGAGTTCTCAACACGTTGATGTTTTTCAAATAAACTAGAAGAAAATAAAGCGTTGCTTTGAAGAACTTGGAGAATCGAACCAAATTCTATATGTTAAAGAGCGAGAGATGAATTACAAGATGCATACAATTCGAAAAAAAATATCGATTGATCTAAGTTGGTTTTCAAATATAACTTAATTTTCATATTATAATTTTCTAAATCAATTTAAATAACTGCATATGTTTAGTGAGGGGTTAGTGAAACAAGCAATCTACATATGATATAATAAACTCAACTAGAAATTAAATCGGCCTAAATCACATCTAGTTGCACAAAACAAGTTTTTTCTATGACATACAAAAACATGGACCAACCTCAACAAGGAAAATATTTTGAACAACAACATATTAACTCATAAAAAGTTTCACAAATATACCTTTTATTGAAATGATTCATGGAGAATGAAGACGAAGAAATAACCAACTTGTCTCAGAATGGCATCCACAATGAAAGGATGATGAAGTTAGAGTGAGAGCTACAAACTTGTGTTAAATTTGAATGGATGTCATTCTGAGCATTTTACACAAGTTTGCAGCTTTTACTTCTGTTTTATCCTCCTTGTATTGTTTCTTCATAGCAACACAAATAATTTGTGAAGGACACTCATAGTATGTGCTTTCTTGAGTTACTTTTTTTATTCACCTTCCCAACAAGTCAAAATGTATTAGCATGACATTGTAATCCTACAAACAACATGTTAACCAAATTTTGAAAGATAAACTAGCATGCCATTGTAATCCTGCAAATAGCATGTTAAACATAAACGAGATTTGGAAAGTGAACTTTTTTTAAGGAGAACACAATCATACTTGGAATAGATATGGTAACTACTTTCCCAATTATATTATCTTTTGATATGTTAAACACGAATTGATCATTTCAAAAATAAAGATCCAAGTAGAGAAAATCCAAAAAATAAAAAAAATCACATGAAATCGAAATCAAAAAACACCATACCAAATAAAAACCTTTTGTAACACCAAATGGATGGAATAGGCCGAGGAGTGATGTGCCTTGAAAGTTCTTCAAAAGTGATGAATATTAGAATCTATACAAAGAAAATGGAAGAAAGCATATGAATAACATGTTTACCTTTTAGAAGAAGAAGAAGAAGAAAGATAAAGAAGAAACACTTGATTACTTTTTAATATGAAGAAGAAGAATGGAGAGTTTTGTGGAAGAAGAGTGACGAGTTCACTGGATGTGGAAGAGAGAGATGTTATGAGTTATGCGGAAGAATAAGAGAGACGAGTTCGTTGGATGTGGAAGATAGAGATGTTAGGGTTTTGTGTTTTGAGAGACGACTATTCTTTAGTGAAACTTGATAACTTTGCTTATATATATGTAACACTTATTATCACAGTTGGTAACAAACACCATAATAAAATGTAAGTACTATTTACAACGGTTTGATACTAACCGTAGTGATAGATATTTTAATTTTAATATATTTATAAGAGTATATGGACAAATTTTTTTTGTAACAAAAGAATAAAAACATTTGTTGGTGCTGAAATTCGAAGCATGTAACGTTTCATCTATCACCACAGTTGTTATTATAAAATGTGATAAAATGTCTTTTAATAAAATAAAAATAAATTTACGTACGTTAAGATGATTTATTAGTGCATTTGCTTAAGCGGCTGTAGTAATATAATGTTATCAAAAATATAATTTCCAGTAGTGTGGAGATTCCTATTAAAAAGACTATAGATGAATAGGAAGATAAGGCTCCATCTTCTAGTGTTAGTGATAAATAGACAACCTACTGTAGTTCTCGATTATCATTTGACTAGTTCTAGATTATCATTTGACTTGTGTAGTGATAAATACTTTGAATGTAGTTGAAAGGTTACAAGACTCAGAAAAAAGACCTTTAAGGAAGCATTTGAAAGCAAATAGATTCAAAAGTTGAAGGCTCTCAATAATAAAATTTCAATATATCAAATTTTATTTAAAAAAAAAAACTATCAAATATTTAAAGTAATAATAATAATAATAATAATTATGTAAAATAAAAAAGGAACACAAGGCTTAAGTAAAATGATATCATGTTGATTTCGAGAGGAAAAAAAGGGTCATATTTTGATATCCTGAAGTATTAAGTCCAACATGAAAGCCATGACCTTACACTCTATCTAAGTGCAAGAAATTGTTAAAAAAATTAAGAAAAAGGGACACCGTTGCTGCCAAGGCTAAGAATGAGAACTATTTATAAGTAAATTATATGTTGCCCTTTCCAATAATTTAAGGAGTTTTCAACCATCGGTCTTGGTCATCGTTTTGCCTCCAGTTTTTAAGCTCCCAATCTATAATGCTACAGAGTGAAGGAATGAGACTTACATAAAAATCAATTCTCGATTCTCAATTTAGCAATTTAATGTATCATAAAATAATACCTACACTATTTAAAATTCATATGGGACAAACAATTATAACAAAATCCTTCAGTATCAAAGCCAAAGGAATAATCTTTGGTGTTCCCACTCAACTATCAAACCTATCTATATATACCAATCTATCTAACTAAAATACTCAAATCATTTGCATATCTATAACACACCCTCTTGATTCCTCAAAGCCTTTTCCCTCATGTTTCCTACATTTTCATTTTGGTTTCTTTTACTCCTTATTTTCAACTTCTGGCCGAAAACAATTGCATTCACCTTAGGAAACCAGACTGATCATTTAGCATTGCTCAAATTCAAGCAATTAATAACCAATGACCCATATGGAATCCTTGATTCTTGGAATGGTTCGAGCCATTTCTGCAATTGGCATGGAATTACATGCAATCTGAAGCATCAAAGAGTTACAAAAATAAACTTACCTGGATACAAGCTGCATGGATCCTTATCGTTTGACTTTAGGAAAAAATATGTTAGAGGGAACTATTCCTTCAAGTATAGGGAACTGCCAAAACATACAAATGTTAGACCTTTCAAAAAACAACCTTAGAGGAGTCATACCCCCAGAGGTCTTCAGCATTTCATCTTTAACAATAGGATTGTTCTTATCACAAAACTTTTTGAGTGGCAGCCTACCTGATGAACTCGGTCATCTACAAAATATTGTGACGATCGATGTCTCTAAAAATCGTTTGTCTGGTAAAATTCCTATAACCGTGGGGAAATGCATATGCTTAGAATACCTTATTTTGGCAGGGAATTCATTCAATGGAAGCATACCTTACTCTTTAGAATCTCTCAAAGTTCTTAAAGTGTTGGATCTTTCTAGAAATCAACTATCTGGGTTGATTCCAAAAGCTTTGCAAAATATTCCTTTCTTTGAATATTTCAATGTATCGTTCAACATGTTGGAAGGAGAGGTACCAACTAAAGGTGTCTTTAGAAATGCAAGTGCATTTACAGTGATTGGAAACAATAAGCTTTGTGGAGGAATTTTGGAGTTACATCTACCACCATGCCCTATTAAAGGTACAAAACACTATAATTTGAAGTTGATGGTAGGGATAGTTAGTGTAGTTTCTTTTCTTTTCATTATGCTATCTATTCCGACAATCTATTGGAGGAGGGGAACGATAAAAAAACCATCTTTTGATTCACCAATAATTGATCAGATGATTAAGGTTTCGTACCAAAACCTACACAGGGCAACCAATGGGTTCTCGAAAAGCAACTTGATAGGATCTGGAAATTTTGGTTCTGTCTACAAAGGAACACTTGAGTCGATAGAAGGATTTGTTGCCATAAAAGTCCTAAACCTTACAAAGAAGGGATCTCACAAGAGTTTCATTGCTGAATGTAACGCGCTAAAACATATTAGACACCGGAATCTAGTAAAAATTCTGACATGCTGTTCCAGCACAGATTATAAAGGAGGTGAGTTTAAAGCTCTTGCATTTGAGTACATGAGAAATGGAAACTTAGAAAGTTGGTTGCATCCCACAACAGAAATGACAGATGAGCCCAGATCATTAAATCTAGAGCAAAGGTTCAATATTATTATTGATGTTGCGTCAGCGTTTTGTTATCTTCACTACGAATGCGAGCAACCTGTCATTCATTGTGATTTAAAGCCAGCAAATGTTCTTCTTAATGACTCCCTGGTAGCACAAGTGAGTGATTTTGGCTTAGCAAGGTTGGTCTCAAGTGCCGGTATCTCTCTGAAGCAAAGTAGCACAATTGGAGTGATGGGGACAGTTGGCTATGCACCCCTAGGTAGAACCTGACACTTTTTTATTAATTTAAAATTTGTGAGTTTCTAAATATTTTTTTGTTAATATAGTGATGATAATTATAAGGACTTTATTTCTTACTTTTCAGAGTACGGAATGGGTTTGGAAGTGTCGATTGAAGGCGACACGTATAGTTTTGGAATACTGATATTAGAAATGTTAACTGGAAGGAGACCCACAGACGAAATGTTTAAAGATGATCATAATCTCCATAATTATGTGAAGCACTCAATTCCAAATCACCTTTTCCAGATTGTGGACCGGTCTATTCTCCCCATTGAATTAGAAAATAATAGTGAGAATGGGAACTCTTGTAGTATAGATCCTAATGTAGAAAAATATCTACTTTCAATATTTAGGATTGCACTTTCTTGTTCAGTGGAATCACCAAAAGAAAGAATGAACATGGTCGATGTTATAAGGGAACTCAACATCATTAAAAGTTTCTTTCCTACCAAGGTTCAACGAAGGCATGGTGCATTACAACCACAAATCACATGATGTAGAGGTATGGTCATACCATTGCTACCATACATTGTTGTCATACCATATCATTCTATGCTTTATTATCCTTAAATGTACTATTCAGTATGATTTCTAATATATACATTTTTTTCTTTCTGTCTATCTTAGGTTTGAATGTGAGCAGAAGTATCCTACTCCCTACAGAGAACGACAATGAAGCTTAATTCCAAAGTTTTTGGGTTAAGCTTGGGTGGGATGTTGGATGTTCAGACATTAGTTATGACTCATGTTGGCGTGATGCTTTATTATTTTTTATGAAAAAAATCTGATTTTTAGAAAAAAAAACTTAACTACAATTCCTTAAGTGTAGTTTATATTTTTTCAATGAAAACTAGTAACAAATTCGTGCTATCGCACGGGTCTCGTCTGGATTCACATTACATTTATAGATTATTAAATTATTAAGTATGTTACCATGTTTTCAGTTGAGTATATGTCTCATGTAAACCATGTTGGCATTTAACTGCATATTTGTAGCAAGCGTCGGTCCTATCAACAAATCACGTCTGCATGAACAAATAGGAAAAATTATATACTTCTTTAAAAAAAACAATGATATTTATGCTCTAAGATATCCGTGCTATCGCACGGGTCTCGTCTAGATTCACATTATACGTTGTCAAATCTCATTTGTCAAGTTTGAATATATTTTTTAGTTGATTAACATTCACATAGTTACAAATATAGACTAATAATATGCATCAACTTTTAAATTAAGAAATAAAAAGAACTCTTATATTAATATATTTGACCAAAAGAGTATTAAATCTTTAATGTTAATTTGATTTTATTAAAAAGATTCTACAATTTAGTCAAAAATGAATTCTATACTGAATTAATATAAAACAGTAGCAAAAGAAAGATTTAAAAGATGAACATTAAAATGAACAGTTTACGGTTGATATTTATAGATACGTTCACATTTACCTGTGGATCTATGCCTGTAAAGTCCTTCATTAAGATGAACAATCTACGGCTATTAAATTGAGAAATAAAATGAGAAATAAAAAAGAAATCTTAGATTAATATATTTGACTAAGAGAGTATTAAGTCTTTATTGTTAAATTATATAATATAAGAATTGAATAAGAAACAATTAATAGAAGAAAACTATAGAGTTAGCAAAAATGTAATTTAAGTGTCATAATTTAGAATTAGTAAAAAACATTAATTATATATAAGAAAAAAATAGAATAATTTGAAATAGTATATTCTGAAAATAGCAATCAAAAGTCTTTAAAAACGACGTTTAGAAAACCGGTGCATTAGAAATTAATATGAAATTAACAACATTAAATAGTAAGAAACTCGTGCTATCATACGGTTACCGTCTGAATTCACATTATACGTCTCTCACTCTCATTTATTAAATTTGTATATATTTATTCAATTAATTAACATTTATATAGTTACAAACATAGAAAGCGCATTGAACTCGTGTGTCTATTTATAAAAAAATATTTCTAATTTATTCCGATTTATAATAATAATTGAATAATAAATTGAATTTTTTTCGTTTATAAAAATATTTATAACTTATTCTAGTTTAAAAAAATTATTGTAACTTATTTCCGTATATAAAAATATTTATATCAACATATAGACTTTTTCCCGTTTATAAGGCACTTGAACCCGTGTGATAATTTATAAAGTAAAATTTAATTTATTCATGTTAAAAATAATTGTTTTAATTTATAAAAATATTTGTAACTTATTCGCGTTTATAAAGTTATTCTAACTTTCTTTGCGTTTATAAACACATTGAACTCGTGTGTCCATTTATAAAAATATTTGTAAGTTATTCTCTTGTATAAAAATAATTGTAACTTATTCCGTTTATAGAAATAATTGTATCATTAAATTTTTACTTTTTATCATTAATTTTTTATGATTACCATTTATCATTAAATTTTCATGACTACCATTTAATATTTTTTATCATGATTACCATTGAAAAGATTCTCATAAATTTTAGTTATTTAATAAGTTTTAAAAAATTATAGAATTTCAATTGATTTTATTTTGTTTTATTAAACTTTTTTATAAAAATATAAATTATTTTAAAATATATCAATAGCATTCAAAATTATATAGTTTTTTCTTAAAATACTTTTTGAATGCTATTTAAAATTATATCAATATTATATATTTTATTTTCATTAATTCAATTTAATTGAATTTCAATGAATCGATTAATCTTTTGAAAATGATCTAATTGAATTAATTGATCAATTAACTCTTTGTAAAGTTATCATACGTATAATAGTTTCTTTCAAAAGTATTTTCTTAAGAAATATTCAAAATAAAGTATTTTAAGAAATATTAATAAAAATGAGACGATTTTTATTAACATTTCTTAAAAATACATGCTTTTTAATAATATTTCATAAAAATACATGATTTTTAATATATTTTAGTAACAAATATTATTTAAACTATAATAATACTTACTTAAAATTTTAAACAAATCACAATTTTGCTAATATTTTTTAATAAATTTGTTTTAAAATGATAGAAAATTTTATCGATTTTAATGATTCACTTTATATATTTAATTTCAAGTTAATCATTACTCATTTTAGAATATTTATTTTTTTGAAAATTATTTTATCATTTTGCAATAAATCATTAATCATAATTTATATGATTTTAAGATACTTATAATCATAAATTATAATTATTTTATCAATTAATCATAATACATAATTTATAATTGCAATAATTCAAATTTTAAACTCAAATGTACTTTTCCATATTCTCAGGGACAGACCTTTTGAACCTTCATCATATATACATTCTCTTTAATTTGTATTTACAACACACTTTGTACAACTGATTCATTGTATTCTAAATTTACAAAAAAATAGATAGTGCATCTAAAAAAACATAAACAACAAATGAGAGGAATAGATATAAATAAATAAACCGTGAATGAAACATTGGAATTGGAATTCAAATATAAATAAATTAACCGTGAATGAAACATTGGAATTGGAATTCAAATATAAATAAAATTCAAATATAAATAAAATAAATTAATAAATCAAATAAATAAAAAATAGTGTAAAATTATGATAGATTGACATGTCAGCAAAATTAAATGTTTGAGTCGTTGATGTCTTTCACAACTTCAATCGGTCGCGCCATTGATGTTACTATTTAGACCTGTTACAAAATCTGTATTAAAATGGACACAGAGAATCAAAATATGGGAATTAAGAAGAATTGGAAAATAATACGCAACCTTTTGAAAATAATGGAGAACCTTTAATGACTATATATAGGGTTTAGAATGCATGGGAAGTTGTGATATCTTGGAATATCAAAATAATCCATTCTAATTCCAATAATATACATTTAATCTTGTAGTGTAATGATAAATAGTGGGTATTTTTAAATCATGCAATGAATAATATTCAATTTAATTATAATAGATCTAATTTGGCCATTCCAATTCCTTCCTCATTAACCGTGAGTCAAACATTAAAATTCAAATTCTGTCAAAAAAAACATTGGAATTCAAATATAAATAAATTAACCGTGAATGAAACATTGGAATTGGAATTCAAATATAAATAAAATAAATTAATAAATCAAATAAATAAAAAATAGTGTAAAATTATGATAGATTGACATGTCAGCAAAATTAAATGCCAAATGAATATGGTAACAGCATAGTGTTGATTAGTCTATTATACCATTGGAATAAGAAAAGTTATAACATCTAATCAAAAGGTTAGACTTGGAATTTCCAGGTTGATTAGTCTATTATACCCTTGGAATAAGAAAAATTATAACATCTAATCAAAAGGTTAGACTTGGAATTTCCAGGTACTTTACTTTTAATAGATTGATAATAGAAATAATTGTATCATTAAATTTTTACTTTTTATCATTAATTTTTTATGATTACCATTTATCATTAAATTTTCATGACTACCATTTAATATTTTTTATCATGATTACCATTGAAAAGATTCTCATAAATTTTAGTTATTTAATAAGTTTTAAAAAATTATAGAATTTCAATTGATTTTATTTTGTTTTATTAAACTTTTTATAAAAATCTAAATTATTTTAAAATATATCAATAGCATTCAAAATTATATAGTTTTTTCTTAAAATACTTTTTGAATGCTATTTAAAATTATATCAATATTATATATTTTATTTTCATTAATTCAATTTAATTGAATTTCAATGAATCGATTAATCTTTTGAAAATGATCTAATTGAATTAATTGATCAATTAACTCTTTGTAAAGTTATCATACGTATAATAGTTTCTTTCAAAAGTATTTTCTTAAGAAATATTCAAAATAAAGTATTTTAAGAAATATTAATAAAAATGAGACGATTTTTATTAACATTTCTTAAAAATACATGCTTTTTAATAATATTTCATAAAAATACATGATTTTTAATATATTTTAGTAACAAATATTATTTAAAATATAATAATACTTACTTAAAATTTTAAACAAATCACAATTTTGCTAATATTTTTTAATAAATTTGTTTTAAAATGATAGAAAATTTTATCGATTTTAATGATTCACTTTATATATTTAATTTCAAGTTAATCATTACTCATTTTAGAATATTTATTTTTTTGAAAATTATTTTATCATTTTGCAATAAATCATTAATCATAATTTATATGATTTTAAGATACTTATAATCATAAATCATAATTATTTTATCAATTAATCATAATACATAATTTATAATTGCAATAATTCAAATTTTAAACTCAAATGTACTTTTCCATATTCCCAGTGACAGACCTTTTGAACCTTCATCATATATACATTCTCTTTAATTTGTATTTACAACACACTTTGTACAACTGATTCATTGTATTCTAAATTTACAAAAAAATAGATAGTGCATCTAAAAAAACATAAACAACAAATGAGAGGAATAGATATAAATAAATAAACCATGAATGAAACATTGGAATTGGAATTCAAATA